AAAGATACCCAACCAGCTTTCGTACCTAAAGTGGAACTAGAATTCACCGTCTCCTAGTGATTGCCCCAAAGTCACCCAGCTGGTTTTATGCCTAAGGCAGGACTAGACAGTCTCCTGGTGATTGGTACAAAGTCACCCAGCCTAAGCTGGAACTAGAACTCACCATCACCCAGCGCCTAGCCCAGCCTCTTGACCTAACTTTCTCTCACTACTACTTGATTCAGTGGATTGGTTCTCCCATTCTCAGCCGAATAGCGGCTTTCCCAGGGGTGGGATTCTGCCGGTTCAGATCGGTTCGGGCAAACCGCTAGCTCCGAAGATCAGCTGGGAGTGAACCAGTTTACTCTGACAATCATGTGGGGCCTCCCTGCCTGCCCCTGTGCTGTGCTGACCTTTATCGTCCCAGCTGGTCCGCGTGGAAGATTGGATTGCTGCTCCTCAGCTGTGTTACTCCCCTGAAGTAACACAGCAGGGTAAGGACTTTTGCATTGCTGTTCACGCGAAGCACGCGATCACCGAACCCAGTGGTCGCCAACCAGTGGGCCGGGGAACCACTGGTGTTCTGCGAGAAAATTTTGGTGGTCCGCAGAGAAATGTCTCCCCCCACAAAGCAATTAAATCCAAGCTGCACGGGAAGGCAAGGCTTGCATCGTCTGCCTTGCGAACAACACGAGATAGTGAGGGGAGGGGGGAAAGGGCGGAGGGGGGGAATTTGCCCCACTAGCCCCACGTGCCTGCCCTGCCATCGGGCTGCTTCTTTCCGCTTTTCTTCTTCTGCTTTTGGCTGCACGCAAGGAAAGTAGCAGAAGTCTTCTTTTCTCTGCCCCAAACTCCTCCAGAAATTAGTCTTTGGGACCCTGCAAGGCCTCCTGCTCCAAGAGGCTGTGCAAAGACTCATTTCTAGCAGAGTTTGGGGGAGAGAAAGCAAGATTTCTGCGGCTCCTGCTGCTTTCCTTGCATGAAGCTAAAAGTCTCTCTCTCTCTTTCTCCCTGAAAATGGAGCTGGAGACGGTATCCTGCGATCCCAAATAAAAAACAATCTATCGGTAGGAACACGGGGTGGGGGATTTTCCTGCAGATTTTTTTGCGAGGGGGGATTTTCCCAGGGTCTCTGGTTCATGGGATTTAAAAATTATGAATTTGGTGGTCCCTGAGATGCAAAAGGTTGGCAACCCCTGAACCGAACCAGTTGTTATTATACCGGCAGCATCCCATTCTCCGGGCTTCCCCCAATTCCTCCTTCCCCAAATGGGGTGGGGGGGGGTTTCGGCCACGGGGCACGAACCTCAGAGCCTTCTGCAGCCTCTGCAGGCAGTCGTTGGCGAGCGGGTGATGCTTCCGCGACTGGACGAACCTCTGGACATGAAGGAGCAGGACGTTACTAGGCGCAAAGAGTCCCGTGCACAGCCAGAGCAGTTCCCAGCCTTTTTCTTCGCTGTACCTTTCCCGCAAGAAATACAAAAGCGCACTATATAATATTCTGGACAAAGATAAAGAGACTCCTTCAAAGCAAGCTAGGCATCTAGCGATATCTCAGTATATACAGGTAGTTCTCAATGGCACTGAAAAAAAGCAACCTATGACCGTTGTTTTTTTGTGTGCTTACGACCGTTGTAGCATCATCAATCGTTGTAGCGATTCTGGCAGTTACGCTTCTCATAGAGAAAGCGTTGGCACCATCAGAGCAAGGCAGCCCAGCGGAGAGAGAGAGGCAAAAAAAACACCACTTACTTCACGTGGTTGTCGGTCAGCTGCTTCAGGACCTGCGAGTAAATCTCGTCTCGGAGAGCTTCAGCCTTCAAGGCCCCTTCAAAGATTTGATCTGTTAGCTCATTCACGGAGCGGGTCCTTTTGGAGGGGTAATCGCCCATGTACTTCAGGATGGGTGTCCCGGTTAAGGATATAATTAAAGATAAGGATCCCTCCCTCCCACTTGGTCATTTCCTTCCTTCCTTGCTTCCTTCCCTTCCCTTCCCTCCCTCCCTCCCTGTCATTCTGTCATTTCCTTCCTTCCTTCCTTCCTTCCTTCCTTCCTTCCTTCCTTCCTTCCTTCCTTCTCCTCTCCCTCTCTCCCACCCTGTCATTCTGTCATTTCCTTCCTTCCTTCCTTCTCCTCTCCCTCTCTCCCACCCTGTCATTCTGTCATTTCTTTCCTTCCTTCCTTCCTTCCTTCCTTCCTTCCTTCCTTCCTTCCTTCCTTCCTTCTCCTCTCCCTT